CGACCTAACTCCCTGGGGGTTCACGCTAAATAGCTGTCAGCCGAGCGGACACGAAAGTTAATTACCCCCTTACAGCTTGTAGTAGGCGGGACGGACATTGAAGCCGGATTATCTGACAGTAATCTAGCGAGACTCCCCACGGGGATAGATCGATCAAAAAGCTCTGGGAATACAGCCTTAGTTATCTTTTAATATATCTGTTAAATAACTGGATACAAGATATTTGTCATTAAACACAACTCCTGTATGAGCCATTATTTTATAGACCATTTTACTAATTTAATTGGAAAACGCTTATTGTCATGTTAATCTCATACTGTTTAAATAAAATACTCTTTTGGGACATTATTATTATTATTGTCATTATTATTATTATTATTACTATTATTTCAGAACAAATTCCACGGCTTATACATATCTGGTAATAATTAAGACAGCCATTATATTTCACGTATTTTGTCGTCCAAAAATCATACATTAGACAATCTTACAAATTATTCTTCAGATGTGAACGACCTCCATCAAAGCAAGGCGAGGATGAAATACTGTGAGGCGGTTTTTAAAGAGACCTTAAGACTTCGTCCTGCTGGACCATGTGCCATAGCACACAAGGCACTGCGTGACACGACACTTGGTAATTAAGAGCCTTAATTTTCATCAATTGAAAAGAAAAAGTGACATACATTTCAAGTTACTTTTATGTCCTTTATAGCAGCACAGGTATCTCGAGACGTTGCGTTTTATTCTTGTAAAAATGACTTTCAAAATTCTAATGGAAATTCAAAATAACATTTAAATTTAACAAAATTAATATTTATCTTTTGCATGCCAACCAGGTGGGTATGATATTCCGAAGGACACAGTCGTTTATCCAAACTTTTGGGTGATCCATTTTGACCCAAGAAATTGGGAGTCACCAGAAGAATTTAAACCAGAGAGATTTCTTTCGAAAGATGGCGCATCAAAGAAAAATGACCATAAAATATGGCTACCTTTCTCTGCTGGGAAAAGGAAGTGTCCTGGCGAAGCTGTAGCTAGATCGAACTTATTGATCTCCATTGTAGGTTTTTAATATGATCTTGTTTGCTTACTTTTAACAGAGACACAGTAGTCTGCAAGTTATAAAATGATATCAAATGGTGCTAAGTAAAAATAATTTATCTATTTTCATAATTTGATTTGCTTGATTAGGTTACATAAGTGAGGTTTACCTTAATTAATTAACTACACGTATGGCATATGCCTGCCTTCCTTATCAAATAATGGCACAGTGTGAACTAAGGCAAGCATGCCCGTATCTTTTGATACTTTTTGTTAGGTGATGGTATGTATAGGTGTGATTGTAATTCACATGGTAATTCAAATTATTAAAAATGCTGTTACACAGTGGTATCCCTTTTTCTCTTAAATCGTTTTCCCTGTTTTACAGGCCATGTTTTTCCGTCAGTTTAAAGTGGCTGTTCCGCCAGGACAGAAACTAGACCTTGAGCCGGATATGTACCAACTTGATTGCATAACAAAGCCTCAGAAAATTGTCATCGAGCCTAGAGAATAGGAAGACACGTGACTTTTAATCTCACGCGTTTACCAGTCTCCGTACGGCAGATTTCTTTGGGTCATGGACATATTGTTCATAACTACACTGTACGCTTACGACTGGAGATCTTTCATTGACGGGAAACCTCCTGTGTCTGTGGGTTATTTGGTTAATCTGATTGCATTCAGCGATAGACTCCATAGATTTACACCCCATTCCCAGAGATTAGATCGATCTACTTTAGATCGACCTAACTCCCTGGGGGTTCACGCTAAATAGCTGTCAGCCAGGCGGACACGAAAGTTAATTACCCCCTTACAGCTTGTAGTAGGCGGGACGGACATTTAAGTCGGATTATCTGAAAGTAATCTAGTGAGACTCCCCGCGGGGATAGATCGATCTAAAATCTATGGGAATAGAGCCTTAGTGTGCAGTATCTAGTACGATATATTCATTGTGAACGCACCCTTATATGCAAGTAGTGATGCAGTAGCCAGTAGTGAATACTAAAATTGTATTTAAGAATGTTACAATTCTTTAATTGTTGACGTATATTGGTGTGTCTCGTGTGGTTCCGTATTTTCCGCATTAATCATCTTTTATCTACAGTCTTCTTTTATTAAAACTAATTCTTAGATGATTGAAATTTATTTTTTCATGATGAGCTGTTTTAATTAGCAGGTACATTTTGCTGTGTAAGCATACCTTTTAGATAAATGGTTTAGCATATTTTGGTACTGTTTGGTTAAATAAAGTTATTTTGATTATCACAATAAGCTATTTGGTGTATTTCTTTAACAGAAATATTCAACTTGAATAAGTCATTTATAAAATATGAAAGAAATATGCATAATCCCACTAACAAATGAAATAATGATCATGATAGGAGAAACTTTTGAAAAAAAATCGGTTGTTGCTTTACTTATGAGCATCAGTGTATATACCGCTGCCTGTTCACCACTGTAATACACATCACCCGGACATGCCCCAGTATATATACCACTGTAATACACATCACCCGGACATGCCCCAGTATATATACCACTGTAATACGGCGCGCAGATAACAACTTAATCTCAAGGACGAAGTGTAACAACAGCTGTCGTGCATCAAACCGTTTCTCCCGACCGTAGGCTTCCACACGAGGACGCTGGTCACCGTACGTTACTGAGCAGGCGGCATAGACCACTCGTACGACAGGACAGGTTAAGACACAAAACAGCGTCTGATTTTCTGTTGTTTGTGCATCGACACGTGTAGGCTTACCTGAGACTGGTAAGGTTGGGCTGATAAAAGACACTCAATTTCATCACAGAGAGGACGCCAAATATCCAAAAATAAAATCCCACGTGCTCTAGTTTCGTGTGACATGTCTTTTACGTCAGCGCTATTCATAGTTGCCATGGTGTCCGACAGCGGCGTCATCTCGCGGAGTCGTTACGCCATGTACGTGTGGACCACGGGCTGGGACTCCTCCATACCTGGATGTGATGAGGGGAAGTTCCTCACCTGGGACAGCACGTGTACGTCACACACCTGGGACACACCAGCCAAGAGACAGTGGTTATGGGACACCTGTAACCTGCCGGGGAGAGAGGTGGACCTCATTTTCTTGTCAGGTAAATAGTTAACTCTACCAGGGCCTCTGGTCATAGGGATATCATGTTCTCTAGCATATATTATCCTTTCTGCACGTTTAGGACCTATACCCGGCAGCGTAACGAGTTAATCGTAAGTCGCACTTTGACTGGCAACCTTGATGCACTCGCCATTGTACATTTGTAAGCGAAAACTAAATTGATTCAAAATAATTTCACCTATCAAAGAACAATACACTGCCAAGCTAATGGATTTGGATAGAATCCAAAAACGTACAATAAATTCAAATTTGGGAAACAAAGACTTCGGCACACAATGCAATAAATTGAAATCAGACAGAAACTGTTCAGAATTCCGCCTAAAATACAAAAGAATAAACAACAACAACTAAGAAGTCAGTATTTTATTCTTTTAAATAAACTAAAGAAACAAAGAAACCAAAGTATTACGTGTGCACCTTAGTCTTGGAAAATTTCGGTTGAGATCGTAACAATACACAGGATAATGAGACCAACGTCTCCTTTATATCACCGACCTTTTCACGTAAGTACTGAAAAATACCGTAGACGTGCAGGAAAATCAGTCTCCTAATGCGGTGACCTTTACGATCCAAAATTGAAATAACAATTTTGACCGCCGCTCCACCCAATTCTTCAAATGGATGTTAGACAAAAGGAATTTTCCGCGCAATCTACTTTCAGCTAGATGGCAGCGAAAACTCAGCTTTAGGCCCGCAAATTTACAAGTTACGAATAAAGTATTCACTGTGTCTACTTACTGAATTGGAGAGTGATCACTGTTGCTATTGCTAGACTCTTTGAGATCGTCGATCGTAGCACGTCCGAATCGGAGTGGGAGATCCGAGACAATGGATGCTTGACAGTTATGATGTCACAATACTGACGATCGCCGGCAGGGGGCGTGCTGTCCCCACCTGGCCTAATTCACTCACCTGTGGTGGCCTATCTTGGTACATGAAGAGCAGACCAGGTGGAGGAAGGAAAAAACTCCGACACCATGGTGTCTGTCAGCGGCGTCATCTCGCGGAGTCGTTACGCTATGTACGTGTGGACCACGGGCTGGGACTCCTCCATACCGGGATGTGATGAGGGGAAGTTCCTCACCTGGGACAGCACGTGCATGTCACACACCTGGGACACACCAGCCAAGAGACAGTGGTTATGGGACACCTGTAACTTGCCGGGGAGAGAGGTGGACCTCATCTTCTTGTCAGGTTAATAGTTTACTCTACCAGGGCCACATGGAGAAACAATACATGTAAATATTCACAAATGGTCCTCTAGCTTTCCTAAAGAGAACACTGACAACTGGTTGTTTCTATGGAATATTACCTGTCCTAGCCGGAGAGTCAACAACAGGGGGAGGAGGAGGAGGGGACACTAATGTGAATGTCATTTTTATAGGGAGAGACCCGCACTTTTTAAGTTGTTCTTCAAATAAATTTTAGACTATGATTTATGTTTTATAAAGAACAACCGAGAATCCCCCCCCCCCCCCCCACACACACACACATCCCGGATGTCACTTGGTGCTAACTTGGACCTAAATAGAATAAATCTCTATTTAGGTCCAAGGTGCTAAGTACCATATTGGACTACATAGGCCTATATACACACAACCCTGTACACAGGACAATAGGCAATGTGATTTATTTATACTTTAGTTGATAGCAGATCTTCCTATGGTTAAAATACACCTGTAGGCCCTACTAGTGGATAGGTTGTACTTAATACTGGTATTTATATAGGGGGGGGGGGGCTACAGGGTAATGTGAGTACGGAATGGACTGGAGACACTTGACTTGTCATTTAAACGCGCGTATCATTCATACTTTATCTTGTGTCGATCTCTAGATGTTCACCGTCCTCTGGAGAGAGGCTACCTCAGCAACGACTGCTCACTGCCGGAAATCCAGCGCATCAAAACCGCTCTCACGGAGGGTCACGCTAGAGTACCCGACCTCAAGATTTACGCCCTGTATGCTGTAAGCGACCTTCCAGTCTCGGAGCAGTTTCTGGTGAAGTTTGTTGTGTGGTATAACGACATATGTGCAGGTGAGATAGACGGGTATATCACCAACAGGTGTCTGTTTGATGAGTATCGCCCCATTTTCTTTCTATGTGAGATCTGCATGTGTCCATACGCCATCAGTCCGGTAGTATGAGCATGTACTAGTAATGAGTATATATGTGTTGTATAACCAGGGGCTAAAACCTTTCGAACGAACTGTGGATCGATCTATCTCTAGGGGGATTTTCGCTAAATTGCAATTAACTTAAGCGGGTAAGATGTTTGTCACCCCTACTGAAGCTGCTGGGAGGTAATTGATTATCCTTTAAGTAGCTTCAGTAGGCGTGTCAGCCATCTAAGCCGCTTAAGTTGATTGCAATTTAAGGAAAAACCCCTTGGAGATGGATCGATCCTGTTACATCGATCTAGCTATGGGAAACAAGTCTTAATTAAGTACCAAAAAATTTTGGGGGCCCTCAGCGGGCCCCGAGCCCCACGCCAAGGGAGGGGGAGTAGGTCAGTTTCGCATCCGAGACCTGTCAGACCCCTCCCCTTTCAAATAATCCTGTATCCACCCCTGTACAACTGCAGTACCCAGTGGCATTATCACATTAAAAGAATAATCTGAATGTTTAAGATACAAAGAATTAAGACATCCGAGACCTAAATTTTTTCTACGGTTTTTCAGCGAGCGCAGCAGAGAGGTTTGACGGAATTGCCGTGAACAACGAGGCTTTCTCAAAAATCAAATGTGGGAAGGAGAAGCCGATCAAGACATATCTGGATAACTTGATGGCTGTCAAGGTAAAAACATTTATATCAACACCAAACCAAACTCCTTTCTACATAATGTTTTTCTCTTTTAATGAAAAATGTTCTTTATGTGTTCTAGGACATTCTGAAGGACTTCCCAAAAACAGTTCTCGAACTGTTACATTCTTTACAGAACAACATTAGAAGTGTAAAAAAATACATCAAGTGTTCTAGAAAAGATTGAGAACCGTAAGTGACCGTTAAATGAGACAAATTTTCGCAGGGGATCAGAGAATCCATGTCGCGTATAAGACTTGAATTGTCATTGGTGGCATTTCAGAAAGAGGCCAAGAAGCAAGCCAATGGCGTGCTTAAGACGCATTATTCCATTGGCTGGCACTGGGGACTACAGTGTTCCACTGGCCCAGCGACATCGAGGCTGATCAGCTGGGGCGGCAAGAGGGCAAAGGTCACTACCCACATGATTGACATATTTGACAGCGTGGACGCCCAGGTTAATTACCATACTAATTGTGACTGTGCGACAAAATCTGGTCACAGTTATGCCCGTCAGTTCTGGCGATGCATTACGAAAAAAGAATTTAAAACCATCCAAAACAAGTTTACAGATTTAATAATTTGGTATGTGGTTTTGGATATGGTATATCATCGTGTTTAAAAGTAAAGGAAATACGCTGAAATTTACAGAAAATTTAATGTAGTTCTATAAATGCGTGTTGTACTGGTATGTCATTAAAGTACGTATATCTGGAACTGCGTGTATTCAGGTGGCGTATACTCGTACAAGCCAAGTGGTGGAGAGAAGCAAATGGGCCGACTACGACTATGCAGTGACTGCAGGCAAACCTTTCTATACCACCATCTACACCAACAAGGTATGTGTCACAGGCCTAGTCCTAATCTAGTCCTATGCCTTAGAGGCCCAGACCCCATCCTAATAATATTTGGAACTGCGTGTATTTAGGTGGCCTATACTACGACTATGCAGTGACTGTAGGCAAACCTTTCTTTACCACCATCTACACCAACAAGGTTTGTGTCACAAGTCCAGTCTTAATCTAGTCCTATGCCTTAGAGGCCCAGACCCCATCCTAATTATACTCAACGTTATGGTTCAACGTTGTTTCAACGTTAAAACAACATAATTTGCCCGCTGGGAACACAATGAGTACTGATTTGGTTAATTATGAAATTGGAAATTGAATACAGTTCAGTTTTTCCGTGCTGCTATACCTACGTGCACCCACTCCTGTAGTCGACCAGCTAGATAATATGGTGCATTTGGAAAATAGTGATTCTGCACAGTGATCAAAACAGTTCAAGTATCTATTGTACATGTACAGGTATCCCTGATCTCCAAAGATCTTTACACCATCTTTACACCACGTTTGTTGCAATTTTAACCTGTTTTTGGAATAATGAGATATATATTTCAGTTAATGTGTACTATTTAAAACATTTTTTCTCGCATATATATCTAATATGTATAGCTTTAACCTTTTGGTTGATTTTAATCCTACCCCTAGCCCCACCCGTGATAGAAATGTTTTCCAGGGTGTTTTTATTTATTAGCTAACATAAAGAGGAGTGTTGTAGGCGACTATGAAAACATAGTTGATCAATTCCTTCCAGGGGACGGCGTGTCAGACGACCTACTTTCCTCAGTCTTGTCCCTGGGGAGAGAAGACGGAGGCTGCCATGTTTGCTCTCTTTGACTCCTATCCGAAAGACATTGAGCATGCGCGACCTTGCATTCATTATTTCCGGGGCATCTACTCCAGCGGTGGGCATTCTGATTGGCCAGCTCACAAACAATCACGCGACGTGCTGGTGGGATAAAGGTCATGCTCCCCTGGTTTGGCGAAATACACCACAATATCCAAGTTTGAAAATTTTCACAGAGACACTTACAGACCAGATCAGTGTAACATTTTATTGTAAAATAAATTCACGAATAAATAATTAAATATTCAAAATATATGAGAATTTCAAAGGTAGTTGATTAAAAGGCACTAAAAGTATCTGTCTACTACATTGTTGTAATGCATGTCGCGCGTGTACCCCAGTAGGCCTATATGTAGCCTGTAGTAATCGTGATTACAGTTTTATAGTTATGTGCATTAATATTAAAATACTCAAGTTGTTTTCTAAAATACATGCACTGGCCTATACGATACTTCTTATAAAATCCCTTATCTTGACTGTGAGTTTTACTTTCATTTTGTTCATTTGCGTTGCGGGTTTTAGGACCCACGTAGTTCTGAACAGTTATCAACAGCAGCAAAACACATCCTGGCTACGTCCCATGAGACTCCAAGCCAATGTATTTGGCTGTATATGCGTGAGAAATGACGTCAGCAATACAGACAAGGGAGTGAAAACGAAACAAGATCAGAAGAGGCAACGACACGTGTGACAAGATAATCCACGTTTTAAAAGAGTAAAATTCTATTTGCACGTGGTTTGCGATCTCATTTCGTAGACCGAAGGAGTTCAAAGCCCACAGGCAAAAGTTGCAGCAGAGCAAGAATACTAGCCCCTGCCGGCCAGGTCTTTTCTCCCTGTGTTCCCTCAGTGTGGCTCGTCTTGGCAGAAATGACGTCACGAGGAACAGTGACTGGATGATGGCCTGTGTGCTAGTACAAAAAGCGTCTGCTGTGGTTAAGGCTGCCTCCATGCCGGCGGTTGACAGACCCGCTATAATGGTCAGCATGCAGTAGGTGAGGAGACCCAGCGTGGCGATCCCCAGCAGAGCTTTATCCATCGACTGCTGATGCTGCTGCCCTCTAGAGGGCACGTGGCGCCGCGGGTCACGCCCAAGACGGCCCATTTCTTTGAGATTATCTGTCTTTTTCATCAAGCCCTTTATCTGAATATGAGTGGCGATCGTGACTAAGATACTGAGGGCGTTGATGAAGATTTTTGTACCAAAGAGATGTGAGTTGGCCAGGTCTGGACTTTTACCGTTATACATGAGATATAGGAACACAATGATGACAGCCACTGATGCCAGGATAACCAACATTCCTACAAACAGCCCGCAGTGGTTGTTTACGTACGTATGCTCTCTCTCCTCAGACCAGTTAGGCTCAAACACTGTGGTAGCTATCGACCTCTCTGATGCCACAGACCGTATAGACGACACGTGCTTATTCCTGTTAAAACCAACGAACGCGCTGCCATTACTAACCGGCTCTTCAGGGGTGTGGACACCTCCCTGGATGTCATAGCCACGCGCAGGGTGACCGGCCTCCGGGCCCAGCTCGCTTGAACCGATATTGAAGTGAACCTTTTCAGTTGTGGCGAGAGGTGACTCCGGCTCGGGATTCTCGTTGAGGTTCTTAATGAGCGGCAAGCTCTTGGGGCGAGGTATGCTCCCGGCCCCCGTCTCCGGGTCTGTGCTGGACTCCTTCGGGTTCTCGCAGTTTCCCGTGCTTTCGTCCGAGAACGACTCTTCCTGGATCTGAGGTAGTACGATGGAGAAACACTTTCTCTGGTGCTCCATCTTTGCCAAAGACGAAGACTTCTTAAAATTGCCACGGTTGCCATAGAAACTTACACTGCGCGGAACATCTTGGCGTTGGTGCAGACCAAATTTGCGTCTGTTTTGTATTTTGACCTGAAAAAAGGAGAAAAAGTATATAGTTGTTTATACCAAACACCTAAACGTTGAACTTAAAAACTTTAATTNAAAGTAAAGCTTTTTACTTTTCTGTGAACAGCTAAAATCAAATTCAGATAAGGCTTCTTCTGCTCAAGATCTAACTTAATTAAGATCGATTCTTCGTATCAGCATATTTGGAAGCCAAATACTACAATAAAGGGGACTTAAATTATGGCAAAACTTGCAATTCCAACAGTAGTACTGATTAGGACTAGTAGTGAGTTCAGTTGTTTTAGCATAACTTACCTTGGCATAGATGAGGATGAGGTAAACTTGCAGAGAAGTGAAGAGGATTGACATCACAGAAACCACTACATACTCCACTGTCCTGCAGGCTGCGTCCTCAGCAACAAACTCCGCTATTCTCAGGGCGTTGTATAACATAGCACCGGTACCGAAGACTGAAATGTAGAACATATTGTGTACGCCTGCTGTCACATCTAACACACTGTCTCAACATTGAACGAGTGCATTGTACAAGAACAATGTCACATCTAACACACTGTTACAACATACACGAAGTAAAACCTTACTGTCTTCTACTATGATTATTATGCCACAGTTAAGGCACTTTGTCACAGCTAACCTAATGATATGGCTCACATGTGTCCACAGACAGCATTGGTTTACTATAATGTCACAGCTAACACACTTTGTCACAGGTAACATAATGATGTGGCTCACATGTGTCCACAGACAGCTTTGGTTTACTATAATGTCACAGCTAACACACTTTCTCACATATAACACAATGATATGGCTTGGCTGAGTGTTAACTTGGTAAATTAAATATTAATACTACAGTCCAACCGATGGAGACGTCGGTAACAGTTTCTTACTTGCAGCGCCGATCTTCTGGAAGGACAACCGGTTATTCTTGCGATGGAGATATCTGGGGTCCACAGTCAGCTTCTTGGTCCAGCCCAGAACCAGTGTAATAAATATCCACAGTGCTGACAGAGAGTACAGCACAGCTAGCGCCACCTGGAGAGAGAATCATGAAATACCATACACACTAATACATATATAAATATATAAAATATACAAATATCCACAGCGCTGATATAGAGTACAGCAAAGCTAGCGCCACCTGGAGAGAGAATCATGAAATACCATACACACTAATACATATATAAATATGTAAAATATACAAATATCCACAGTGCTGATATAGAGTTCAGCACAGCTAGCGCCACCTGGAGAGAAAATCAACAGATACCATTCACACTAATACATATATAAACATAAAATATACAAATATCCACAGTGCTGATATAGAGTTCAGCACAGCTAGCGCCACCTGGAGAGAGAATCATGAGATACCGTACACACTTTTATATATATAAATATATAAAATATTCATATACAAATATTCACAGAGTACAGCACGGCCAGCATCATAAACACTCATGCAAATATAAATATTTAAAATATACAAGGCGAGATAGGACGCTCGCATTGACTGGACAGCAAATTCTTACCTGTGGCAATACTGACATTTTTATGTTTTTTTATCAGATTGTTCTAAGATGTATTGATTCATTCGTCTTGTTTTAAAACACGAAATGTTAATTAACTATAACATATCTCATGTTGTCATAGCAACACTGGATAAAATCAGGTGACCTTGCTACCTCGACTGTGGCCTCCTCTATCGTATATTTCGAGGCCGAGGCTATTGCCATGGAAGCCAGCAACACCACACACACTGCTGCCAGCATCAGGCTCACGGCCTTCATGTTGACTTGACCAGAACTCTGGCGTCTGGAAATAAAACACAGAACTTGGAGTTCATTGACAATAAGACATAGATAGGGACACAAGTTATCTAACAAAGATAAGAGTAATTTTTATTCAAATGAATAAATAAAACAAAACAGCCCAAGGAATTTTCGACTCATAGCAAACCGTCAAAAGCGTAATATAAGTATTTTTTATTTCTTCTTTTGGCTGTGGCGACAAGGAAATACGATATTCTACTAGTAAAAAACGCGTCTACAAAACAGGTAACAACTGACAGGTGCGCCTATTAACCTCAGTATGCGACCTTTATGTTGACAACACTATTTTCACAAGCATTTATTTGTTTGAGCCTATTCAAAAATGGAGCGTAATTCAGTGATAATAAAAATACTCCAGATATGACGCATAGCGTGTACTAAGCTTAACACAATGTCAGTGACATGAAATAATTTCAGGTTAAACATTTACATTCTACAACACAAGCGCTGAATACATTTTAATCATAAAACTGTGACCTCTCTCTCTCTCTCTCTCTCTCTCTCATACTAAGGAAGCTGTTGTTAAATCATCTTCTGCTGATTTACTTAGCGGTTATCTGGATATCTCATTTGTCTTCCTGCGGGCGGTTTACGATAGCATCAGTTTAGAACTAACAGTATTAGCAGCTGAAACCGCTGTCTCAGGAATACCACAGTATGGATCGTCTTTTGAAGCAGAAGGTTATTAAAAAATGGTCATAAAGAACTTAAGTCACAATGACGCCGTGCATGCGTAGGTGTGTGTATGTGCGCGTGCGCTCGTGTGTGAATATTTCCATATAAACCAGTACCACAGTTCTAGACCATAACAAAGAGCTGGATGTGAAACACGACAGTGGATCACATTAAGTGCTCCCTCACTAAACTTACTTTGTTTATATACAACTCACGTTTTATAGCACCGAATTCCCGCAATATAATGTCGGATTAACTGCTGTCTTGTGCACCTATAGTTGACACTGCGTCCTGTCACCTTAACGTTTACACTGTACCACACATGTGTCGCTATGTTTAATCTGTCACACATAATATAACCACCTAATTTGCATATGTGATGAGAGCACGTCCGTGATAGGTATAGTAATGTTTAATTGCCCTGTAATCAGCAGTAACTGCAGTAGTATGACGGAGTGCGTTAATTCACTGTATGTAAAATAGTAAACAAAATATTCAAAGAAATCTACGTCAGTCGTCAGTGCGGAGTCGCACACAGTGACAATTACCCGCGTCTTATTTAACATAATCCTATAGGACGCCAAGAAGCGTTCCCTTAGCCATATGTTTTTATCTCCAAAATGTTATTGAAAATAAATGTAAATTACTTTTCAACATAATTGTGTGAAAATGACGGCGGCACCATTCATTAGATTCTATGAAGCGGAACGCTGCTGGCACTTTTCCTGTCTCGTTAGTCCACCTGTTCACAAAATGGGCTTAGACAACAATAAGCTTTGGTACTACGGGGTTATTGTGAGAAAAATCTTCACCACTGTTCGCTCAGAAAATGTGTACATAAAAATATAACTTCATCAAGAAGCAACGACTTCCCCCTAATTTTTAAACTATAAGGTTGCTTTCGGCGAGACAGCGTCTCTCTGTAATGTTAGTCCGCCTCGTCCTCGGGCTAGAAATGAAAGAAATCTTCCCCAGGAAGTGACTGGGATGGTGATCTAATCAGGCCAATTAGTCAAGACAGTAGCCGGGGGCTGGGAGGGATTGTACTATAACGCAGATGACCTGCCAGGACCGTTCAGGGGTGGGGGNAGAGTAAAGCGTTTTACTTTTCTGTGAATAGCTAAAATCAAATTCAGATAAGGCTTCTTCTGCTCAAGATCTAAATTAAGATCGATTCTTCGTATCAGCACATTTGGATGGCAAATACTACAATAAAGGGGACTTATATTATGTCAAAACTCACAATTTCGACAGTAGTACTGATCAGACTAGTACTGAGTCCAGTTTTTTTAGCATAACTTACCTTGGCATAGATGAGGATGAGGTAAACTTGCAGAGAAGTGAAGAGGATTGACATCACAGATACCACTACATACTCCACTGTCCTGCAGGCTGCGTCCTCAGCAACAAACTCCGCTATTCTCAGGGCGTTGTATAACATAGCACCGGTACCGAAGACTGAAATGTAGAACACATTATGTATGCCTGTTGTCACACTTAACACACTGTCACAACATTGAACGAGTGCATTGTACAAGAACAATGTCACATCTAACACACTGTTACAACAAACACGAAGTAAAACCTTACTGTCTTCTACTGATTATTATGTCACTGCTGAGACACTTTGTCACAGCTAACATAATGATATGGCTCACATGTGTTCACAGACAGCATTGGTTTGACTATAATGCCACAGCAAACACACTTTGTCACAGCTAACATAATGATATGGCTCACATGTGTCCACAGACAGCATTGGTTTACTATAATGTCACAGCAAACACACTTTGTCACAGCTAACATAATGATATGGCTCACATGTGTCCACAGACAGCATTGGTTTATTATAATGTCACAGCAAACACACTTTCTCACATATAACACAATGATATGGCTTGTCTGAGTGTTAACTTGGTAAATTAAAGATTAATTCTACAGTCCAACCGACAGTTACGTTGGTCACAGTTTCTTACTTGCAGCGCCGATCTTCTGGAAGGACAACCGGTTATTCTTGCGATGGAGATATCTGGGGTCCACAGTCAGCTTCTTGGTCCAGCCCAGAACCAGTGTAACAAATATCCACAGCGCTGATATAGAGTACAGCACAGCTAGCGCCACCTGGAGAGAGAATCATGAGATATAATAAACACTAATACATATATATAAATATATAAAATATACAAATATCCACAGTGATGATATAGAGTTCAGCACAGCTAGCGCCACCTGGAGAGAGAATCATAAAATACCATACACACTAATACATATATAAATATATAAAATATACAAATATCCACAGCGCTGATATAGAGTTTAGCACAGCTAGCGCCACCTGGAGAGAGAATCATGAAATACCATACACACTAATACATAATATATAAAATATACAAATATCCACAGTGCTGATATAGAGTTCAGCACAGCTAGCGCCACCTGGAGAGAGAATCATGAAATACCATACACACTAATACATAATATATAAAATATACAAATATCCACAGTGCTGATATAGAGTTCAGCACAGCTAGCGCCACCTGGAGAGAGAATCATGAGATACCGTACACACTTTTATATATATAAATATATAAAATATTCATATACAAATATTCACAGAGTACAGCACGGCCAGCATCATAAACACTCATGCAAATATAAATATTTAAAATATACAAGGCGAGATAGGACGCTCGCATTGACTGGGCAGCAAATTCTTACCTGTGGCAATGCTGACATTTTAATGTTTTTTTTTTATCAGATTGTTCTAAGATGTATTGATTCATTCGTCTTTTTTTAAAACACGAAATGTTAATTAACTATAAAATAGCTCATGTTGTCATAGCAACACTGGATAAAATCAGGTGACCTAGCTACCTCGACTGTGGCCTCCTCTATCGTATCTTTCGAGGCCGAGGCTATTGCCATGGAAGCCAGTAACACCACACAAACTGCTGCCAGCATCAGACTCACAGCCTTCATGTTGACTTGACCAGAACTCTGGCGTCTGGAAATAAAACACAGAACTTGGGGAATTCATTGTCAATAAGACATAGATAGGGACACAAGTTGTCTAACAAAGATAAGAGTAATTTTTATTCAAATGAATAAATAAAACAAAACAGCCCAAGGAGTTTTCGACTCGTAGCAAACCGTCAAAAGCGTATTATAAGTATTTTTTTATTTCTTCTTTTGGCTGTGGCGACAAGGAAATACGATATTCTACTAGTAAAAAACGCGTCTACAAAACAGGTAACAACTGACAGGTGCGCCTATTAACCTCAGTATGCGACCTTTATGTTGACAACACTATTTTCACAAGCAGTTATTTGTTTGAGCCTATTCAAAATTTGAGCGTATTTCAGTGATAATAAAAATACTCCAGATATGACGCATAGCGTGTACTAAGCTTAACACAATGTCAGTGACATGAAATAATTTCAGGTTAAACATTTACATTCTACAACACAAGCACTGAATACATTTTAATCATAAAATTGTGACCTCTCTCTCTCTCATACTAAGGAAGCTGTTGTTAAATCATCTTCTGCTGATTTACTTAGCGGTTATCTGGATATCTCGTTTGTCTTCCTGCGGGCGGTTTACGATAGCATCAGTTTAGAACTAACAGTATTAGCAGCTGACACCGCTGTCTCAGGAATACCACAGTATGGATCGTCTTTTGAAGCAGAAGGTTATAAAGAAATGATCATAAAAAACTTAAGTCACAATGACGCCGTGCATGCGTAGGTGTGTGTATGTGCGCGTGCGCTCGTGTGTGAATATTTCCATATAAACCAGTACCACAGTTCTAGACCATAACAAAGAGCTGGATGTGAAACACGACAGTGGATCACATTAAGTGCTCCCTCACAAAACTTACTTTGTTTATATACAACTCACGTTTTATAGCACAGAATTCCCGCAATATAATGTCGGATTAACTGCTGTCTTGTGTACCTTTAGTTGACACTGCGTCCTGTCACCTTAACGTTTACACTGTACCACGCATGTGTCGCTATGTTAAATCTCTCACACATAATATAACCACCTAATTTGCAAATGTGATGAGAGCACGTCCGTGACAGGTATAATAATGTTTAATTGCCCTGTAATCAGCAGTAACTGCAGTAGTATGAGGGAGTGCGTTAATTCACTGTATGTAAAATAGTAAACAAAATATTCAAAGAAATCTACGTCAGTCGTCAGTGCGGAGTCGCACACAGTGACAATTACCCGCGTCTTATTTAACATAATCCTATAGGACGCCAAGAAGTTCCCTTAGCCATATGTTTTTATCTCCAAAATATTATTGAAAATAAATGTAAATTTCTTTTGAACATAATTGTGTGAAAATGACGGCGGCACCATTCACTGGATTCTATGAAGCGGAACGCTGCTGGCATTTTTCCTGTCTCGTTAGTCCACCTGTTTACAAAATGGGCGTAGACAACAATAAGATTTGGTACTACGGGGTTATTGTGAGAAAAATATTCACCACTGTTCGCTCAGAAAATGTGTACATAAAAATATAACTTCATCAAGAAGCAACGACTTCCCCCTAATTTTTAAACTCGGTATATAAGGCTGCTTTAGGCGAGACAGCGTCTCTCTGTAATGTTAGTCCGCTTCGTCCTCGGGCTAGAAATGAAAGAAATCTTCCCCAGGAAGTGACTGGGATAGTGATCTAATCAGGCCAATTAGTCAAGACAGTAGCCGGGGGCTGGGAGGGATTGTACTATAACGCAGATGACCTGCCAGGACCGTTCGGGGGTGGGGGTGGGGGAGGGTTCGAAAGAAGCACTCTATTTTGCTGGGAAAAGGTTCACTCTGGGTAAAATTTGATCCGTGTACATGACGATTTTATGGTAAAGGTCCACTTTTTCAGAAAACGAGCCCCCTCTCTGAAATTGCTGGCCACGGGCCTGCCTACTTTTATATACATTTTCTCCACAGATACGCTGTGTTGAGTAAAGTACATATGTGTTACGCAGTCATATCATTCAAATAAAAACCATTATCAATATAGTATTTGCAAGATGACTTTAACTTGATATGACCTTATTAAAGTAAAACCAGAGGATGTAGAGGAAGGCGACCTCTCAAACTTTCCACCATTAAAAGCTGTTAACAAACAAACAGCCTCATTTTTATCCAATAAGAGATGCCACTCAATCTTACGAAAAAAAAAATTCACCGCATCATCTCTGGACGGGCACACCCAGAACTTTCTTTTTTTCAAATCACAGACAAAATTTACAACACCTGTATGTCAACTTATAAAGCTGCAAAGTGAAAAATGTATTTTTTCAAATTTGCCAAAAATGTGAAACCGTGAAATGAGCTGTACCTGCCACATCGTTTCACTAATGATGTAAACTAATTAAAAGAAGAAAAAGAGACGCTGCAACAGCACACGTACACCTACCCGTTAAACTTGTCTGAAAGTTCGCTCTCAGCGTCTGTCCAAACCATAATGACGGCGTGGCGCAGTTGTTTTGTTGTTATAGTGTAAAAGTTGCAGTATATATACCCTGAAGGGGGGGGGGGGGGGGGGGCAGAGCTGTCGTGATGTCGATAAGAAAATCAGGATTTATTTTACAACTTTTCAAACAAATAACTGGCGACAATTATTACCTATTTACAGGTTTGTTTATCGCTGAGCTCGGACTTAAGCTGGCACACAAATGTGTAAAACACCGCGATAAGATACGAGCTGCTGATTGCGTACTTACACCGAGTGAAGTAAATAATTATTGTCACGTTTATCAGTGTTATCTCAACAGGGAGAGCGGGGACATCTAGTGTGAACAACAGATCTTTTAACGCACATGCTTAAGTCGGCGTTTAGAGAGGTGGAAAATATATTTACAGATGCTCTATTAAATATCAACCACAACCCAAAAAAGACAGGAAAATCAGCGGTGATAACATTTTAACGTCTGGGGATTCGTAAGTTGCCTCCCTACAGATAATCTAATTGACTGTGTCCTTGTCAGGACCCATGATAAAGATCCGCTTTCGTTGGTGCCTATCGGTGGCCTATGTTTCCAGGGGCGGACATATTATATTTGTTTATCCATCCTCCATTTTTTGACCGTCTTCCGACAGAAAAAATTAGATACTCGTCAATGTAAACTTGAAAATCTGACCGCCTTCCGGAAGACCCAGAAGACGGCCTGAATCCGCCCCTGGTTTCTGTAAGCCGATGATGCTGATATACTATTATAGTAACTTGAGTCATCCTGTATCTTCATAACACATCAAATATATGAGGTAATCTCGGACATAAATATATTTTTGACTCCATATCTCAATATCCGGCTGTCACGGTGTTACTCTCTGACAGATACCCCGACTTCTTGCCACCGCCCCGCACTGTCTTGACAGCTTTGCCCCGCCCCTGCCCCGCCCCTATCCCGCCCCTGTCCCGGCCCTACCCCGCCCCTGCCCCGCCCTGCCACTTTTCGTCCCGTCCCCTTACCGCCGTCTAGACATGTACTATATATAAAAAACGTGCTCATTTAGAGTACTGTGATGGCGACAACAACTCTGACTCGTTTTATCTTGTAGTATTGCACCTGTCAGCAACAGGTAACAATGTTCATCAATGAAATAAACAGTAAACACTCCACTTCAGCAGTGAATGGGTTGTAACCAGTCTACTGTACATATAGCTGATGTCATCCTGGGCACGGTTTGTTATCTGATGTCACAGCAGTACTAAGATATCGTGGTTAGTACCACTCTCTGACCACAGGGGGCGCTAGTAGTCTGTTATTTTAGAAGCCCTGGTATCAGGTGGCAGTTAGTACCACTACCATGCAGTTTATCAATGAACAGGTATAACGGCAGTTACACGGGGATAGTGTTAACATTCTACTTTGATCTCTTCCCAGATATGGGTTAGTTATTAGGAGCTTCAAGCCTTATAACAGTGTATCCACTCCTCTAATTCTGACTCCAAAAGTGAAAACATAAAAATAAATAAAAAAAGATGTTATGTACAAAATATCTATAAGATAGATACTCTAAATAAATGAAAAGGAAATTATTTATGATGCGTATTGGCACGCAGTATCGTGTTATTAAGTGTTTGTTAAAATGAACACACCCGTGAACGTGAAAGTGTGCGTATAATGTCTGAGTCTACGCTACAGGTAAGATGCTGACTCGGTGAAATGTCTTGGCTTCAATCCAAATTGGTAAAACTAAGATCTACGATCGCGCGTAATACTTAATACTACTATCAATGACGCCACAAGATCAGGTATATGTTCGTCCCACTGGCTGTCTCATGTCTTTAGTCTGTCTGAAGACAGTGAAATCAAAATTGGTCGATTTGTCTTTATAAAAACTAAACTTCGAGCAGAAGGATGTTCCTACTGATAGAAAAAAACAGAAGACATCAGTCTACGGCGTCTTCAACCGGTGGGGTGAGAGGGGACGGTGGGAGGGGGTGGGGTGAGAGGGGACGGAGGAAGGGGGTGGGGAGAGAGGGGACGGTGG